TAAGCATTAGATGTGTGTATCTAAAGCCTGACATACAATACCAGCACAATTAATGATATGACAAAACTAGCAGTGGAGGGAAGTAGCAATAGTAGCTAGTTTGGTAGAATCGCAGCCGCAGAAGTGCTAGAGTAGTTATTGCTACCAGTACTACCACCACTATGATAACTGCTACTACCACTACTCCTACTGGAAATAACTATGTAAGAAGACAAGAATCCTTTAAAGCTCTGTATTAATCACGGTGACCTAAAAACAAACTAAAGAGGCAGAATAGTTTATAAAGAGCCCCAAGACAGTCACTTTCACCAGATTTCACTAAATTTAGCATTATAGTCAAGATTCCCGAGGGGATGCAGGGAAGAAAACTTTTCCCTTCTTCTCTTCTAGGTTCTTTGGCTGGCCAAATCATTAAATTTTTATAAAACAGATTAATGAGAGGAAATCATATTTAAATACATACGTACAGGAGCTCCACAAAGATATAAGGGACTCCCCGACTGGCATCTTGAGCTAAGCAGAAAGGGGTAGGAGTCTGGGACCTCAAATAGGAGGAAGACAGTTTATAGGAAGGTGGGAAGAGTAAATGGTAAACAAATGTTTGCTGTGCAAATGAGAAGTCTTTCTTATGTGAATAAAAAAAGTTATCTCTGATAGTAGTGCTCTTCCTGATACAGGCTCCCTATCTAAATTTTTTTAGGCAGTTAATGGGGAGGTAAAAATCTCTCCTCGGGTCTGTTGGACCTTACCCATCTTCAGCTCAAAATAATCCACATGCCAGAGTGGCACATTCTGGGGTGAACTGCCCTGATCCCCATCATTTAACGAAGGATGTGGATAATGGTGCCACCCACTGGTAGGACAATTTGTTGGTGGTAGAACTTTGATTTTTGTTTTGTTTATACTATGAAGCCCAAGTCCCCTGTTTCATATTATGGAGAATGCCTTGTTTTTATATCTGAGTAGTCCTCATGGCAGAGATACCAAAGACCTGCACAGTTATACTCCTTCCATCTGCACTGGGAGGTTTCTCTCTCTGTTTTCATCCATTGGTCTGGAAAACATTTTAAAGGACTTAACTATTAATCTATCTGAAAGGACTATGCAAGGTCTAGTCAGAATAATCTTCCTTATAATGGGCAGTGTCTACACAGCCAGCCAATAGGAAAGAAAGTTTGACAGTCCTTATGATTTAGAAGAGTAAATATTCTCCAATATTTTCCCAGTGTGACTTGAAACTCCATGTACCCATTTCTCTGCTCATTCCTGGGAAAGTTCTATTTCTCTCTTCTTTCTAGATCTTGAACAAACATGCTTCTGAAAACCCTAAATAAAGACTCATTTGATTTTAATCATGGAACAAACACTTCTTTAAGGATCCCAGCAGATGATGCTGCATCAAAATTGTCTTATATACATGACTGGAAGGATTTTCCCTAATTCTTCTGCTTCTCTGCTTGGAAATTCCCTATTATAGATGTACTCAGCAAAGCGATAACATTTAAAATGCAGTGCTCCACATGGGAGAAATATTTCTCAAGGAAAGATAGCTTGCCTCCTTTCTTTCCTTCCTGCACTACTCTATTCATATTGAGTGCCATGCCCTGTCCCCAACTCTGTGCACATACCCGGGGCATACATAATCCATCCACCCAAGTGTCTTGCTGGCCATACCCTTCTTGGAAATACCCAGAGACCCCTGCCCCCATCCCCTGTCCTGTGACATTTTTGGACCAGGCTAGATAATTTAATAAACTATTTTTAAGGTGTTAAAGATTGATAATTATTTCATTGATTCAAAAATACTTATTGTCAAAAAACAAAAACAGTAATTGTCTGGAGGCTGAGGGTATAGTGGAAAGAGCATTGGATTAAATTAAAGGAAGCTACAATTCTAGCCTCCTCTTCTTGAAGACTTGGAGAGGAGAGGTATGGCAAGGAACACAAACTTTTTTCCATATGAGGAAAGACAGGGAATTCTGGACAATTAAAGTGCAAGTAAGGGCGCCTGGGTGGCTCAGTTGGTTAAGCGTTCGAGTTCGGCTCAGGTCATGATCTCACAGTTTATGGGTTCAAGCCCCATATCAGGGTCTGTGCTGACAGCTCAGAGCCTGGAGCCTGCCTCAGAGTCTGTCTCCCTCTCTCTCTGCCCTTCCCCCGCTCGTACTCTGTCTCTCAAAAATAAACATTAAAAAATAAATGAAGTGTAAGTAAAGTAGAATGCATGTTAAATGCATGTTAAACGCATTCAACACAGTTGGAGCTTCATTTTGTGGTCACAGGGGAGTTGCTGAAGGTTTAGTTGAGAAGAGTTTTATAACCAGAGTTGTAATCTAGGATAGGTATGCAGGAATAGAGTACAGAATCAGTTGTACTTAGGAGCATGGAAGTAGCAAGACAAGTTAGCTTTGCCTCTGACCTCTCCATCTGGCTCAAAGATAGCATGGAGGCCTGAACAGATCAGTGATTATGGAATATAGGAGAACTGAGTGCAACATAGGCATCTCCCTGACTCTGTTCTCAGGATATTTGGCTACTCCTGCTATCTCTCTTTCCCCACATGCATTTTTGCCTGGTTTGTCCTCAGAAACAGTTATAAGAATCTCAAGAGTACTTGCAAGCAGGCCCAGGACAGACGTGGGAAGCATAAAGATACCAGCTCCAACCAAGAAGTATTTTTTTTTTTTTTTACTATTTACTCTTTTCTACTCAGAGTGGCATAATGGGATTGTAAAAAACAAAAGAACAAAATGGTGAGTGACAGACCGAAGCAGTCATTTCAACAAATCTCAAAGTACAGAGGAGGTAACTGAGTCACTGAGATGTTGAAAGGCTTGTCCAAAGTCACACACTGAAAATAAGAGTGAGTCCAGCCTCCTGGCTTCCCCTTGAGTGCCATTTTCAGGCTTCCACCAAGAGCTTCCTGACAGCAAGCTGTGTTTTTCCAGTGACAAAAGTATCCAAGGTCACTTTAGGATAGAGATTCTCACCCGGGGCTAGGGAAAGGAGGGAACTAGAAGATGTCAAGAGGCAGTCCATCAGTGTCTCAGTTACTACAAGGTTTTGTCTGATAATCATCAAGTTCCTGCAATCCCTGGGTATCCTACACTAAAAGGCTTTAATAGCCATTTCAGTATTGAAAACCACTGAACTTGACACTGTCTGTCAAACGTTTCTCTACATGGTTACCATTGTTAGAGATGATTGAGATCACAGGTAAGCTGAGTCTGTGCTCAGCCCCATGAAACAGGAGCATGTTCTCCAAACCCCTGGTCAGTTTGGTTTCTAATTCATCACCAAAAATTAGGGTTTTTGAAAAATATCCCTTCTCTTTTTAGTAACTGTGAAAACTTAGGGAGTTTCATTTGACTGTCAGTTTTACTTTGCAACCTCTGTGGAGGGAAGAGCATGAGACATAGAAAGAAGTATGAAGGGTGTCCAAGAGGTCACACTTTACTCAGTGTTTGCTAGTTCAAGGTTGGGGGAGGGAAGGGAGAACTTCTGTTTAAATGCGTTTAGAAGTATTCACACATTGTATTAATCAAAAAAAATAATGGGATGCCTGGGTGGCTCAGTCAGTTAAGCATCCGACTTCAGCTCAGGTCATCATGTCACAGTTCATGAGTTCAAGCCCTGTGTCAGGCTCTGTGCTGACAGCCCAGAGCCTGGAGTCTGCTTCAGATTCTATGTCTTCTTCTCTCTCTCTGCCCCTCCCCTGCTTGTGCTCTCTCTTCAAAATAAATAAACAAACATTTAAAAAAAAAAGAAATAAAAAAATCACAAGTGACATCTAGACAACTGGTTTTTAAAAAGTGGTTTGTCTTTAAAACTTTCCATTTGAACAGGAAATTATAGAGCGGTAGAGTGAAATAGCACTGAGAGGGGGCCGGGTTTGGTCCAGGTCTGGCCTTTGCTGGCAGGGTGGCTGTTTTGCGGGCATGTAGCCTCACCAAACTTCAGTTCACCATCCGAGAGATGAGAAAACTAAACCTCCCCTCACAGCCTCCTGATAGTTGATATATATTACAGACCAGAGCACTTAACTCTTGGAAGTTCCAAGAACTGCCAAATTCACAAAGCTGGTAAGAAAAAAGCCAAAATTCAAAATTCAGGTCAGCTCATTTCAAGGATGACACTCTACAAACTGTACTAGTGATTTTCAATCTTGATTCCATGGTCATCTGCAAGGTATTAGGGTGGGGATGGAAGTGAGTGGCAAATGAGTAGGGATCTAGAATCTCCCACTCTGACTTTAGCAAGAGTGGCTCTAAACAGCGATCATTTGTATATATTGACATTTCATACATAACGTTGTTCAGGAAATTATTTTCTAGCTAAAAAATAGATCAGAAATCTCTCCTATTATATTATACTGACTTCTGACATATGCCTTTAGTTTCTCAAGCAGTGTCATTGCAATAAATTTTTTTAGTCATAATGGAAATATTCTATATCTGCCTTGTTCAGTACAATAGCCAGTAGCCATTTGGGGCAATGTGGGTAGTGTTAAAAGCAAATGAATTTTTAATTCTATTAAATTTTAATTAATTTAAATTTAAATAGCCACATATGGCCACTGGCTACTGTATCAGACAGTACGATAATCTTCAGCAATACATGAGGAGAGAAGGCCCTAGGGATAGCCAACATTGAGCTATGATAATGACAAAACTTGCGTTTTAAAGTTAAACACCATTCGGCAAGAGTAATACGAAGCTGAGGTGCTTTCACTTCAAAAATAAAAAAAATGAAATAATCAGATAGTGTGGCTTCTCTTTGTTTGTTGTTGTAATTGTTTCCCAGAGCTGATTAAATGGCTTTTCTCATCATTATAATAATGCAAACGCAGGACAGTTCTAGTTGAGGATATCTGTGTTCTCTGAATAGCAGTTTGCTTACACTGAAACAGAAGCTCTGTTTGTCTTCGTAAGTTATTTTATATTCCTCTTGGTATTCACAAACAGGTGATTTCCTAATGTAGCAATTTTTCCTGTCTATAGGATAATGGAAAAATGAATCACAATTTGCTTGTTCTCACATGCTTTGAAAGCAGACCACCCTCTTCTCCTGGGCTCTGTTCCTCTCCCACCTCTGCTGATGAAAGCCCGGACAACTGCCAGTCAAATGAGCCCACCATGAAAGAAGCAGGGCCAGGAGCAAAGAGGCCAGAGAGAAGTCTTCACTTCAAATCACAGCCCACACAAGTGAGAAAGTATTCAAGACAAATGTCTGTCTCTGATGGATTATGTTACAGCTGTCTTCTTTCTCAGCCACCGAATAAACACAAAATCAGAGTTCATTTTTTTCACCTGATTCCAGTTCAGTTCTCTCCCCATAAGTGTAGCCTTCCCCACCCCCCCTTCATATCTCAGTGAATCAGGAATCAGGCCACCTGACAGCAGAGGTTGGAGCAATCATTTCTCATATTGTCATCTGATGAATGCCTGAACAATGCTTCATTTAAACAAAATCTGAGTCTCGCAGCTTCTAAATTCCAGTACTTTTTCCCCAAGCCATTCCACAGTGGGTCTGCATTAATTCATTCAGATACACTGGAGTTAGACATCAAAATAAAAATATTCTGAACAAGATCATTCCTCTCCATTGAAATAGAAATGGGTCAGTGGCTCAAACGTGGAAGATAGAATGTAGAACCCATAATGAAATAGGACTTAGTAATGTAGAATTCTTCAGGGATACTGCCTACTGACTTTTACCCACCACAGTTGTGACTGCAGTCATTAGGCAGGGTCAACCAAACCCAGAGTGTCTGGTTGATTCTCTCACGTAACTAATATTTATAGTTAATGTAAGGATATTCCTTTATACCTGGCATCCTGACAAGTTGTCTGGGTAATACTGATAGACAAGACAAGTCTCTGCTCTCACAGACCTAAGATTTAATAAACAAGATAATTCAAGATTTTGTGAACATTAAGGGCAATGAATGAAAAAAAACAGGGTGCTGTTGAGAAGGGGGTGTGGCTACCTTCAATGGGGTAGTCCAAGAAGTCCTTTCTGGGTGCTGAAGATGATGCTGACATTGAGACCTGAAGCAGTACCAGAAGTAAGTTATGGAATTTTCTTGGTGATGTGGATCTAAATGGAGCATCAGAAAGGAAAGAGCTGAGGCAGAGAAGAGACTGCCATGATGGAGAAAATGTGACCAAGCTGGAGATGAGCTTGAGAGGTGACAGGAGGAAATAGATTCTCCAGGATTCTGAGGGTCATAAGAAGGAGTGAGCTGCATTCCCAAGTGCCCTGAAGCTGTGCTTGGGTTATAAGCAGGAAGGTAGAATAACTACAAGACTTCATGAAAATGACAACAGGGCATTTTGAGCATGACAGAACCAGAACTCTGTAGGAGATTAGGTTCTCTTCAGGAGGCAGGAGGAAACTCATAGTCCATGTGGCTAAGAAAAAATTATGGGCTCAGCTGTCTTTTGCTCCTGTGAGTTCCACATTTGGAGCCTGTCACACGAGCCTCCTCCTTTGCACTTGCTCATTGTACAGTCCTGAAGGTTCAAGCCTCATCAAGTCAACTGCTATTCCCTCTATCTGGAATGAGATTTCTCCCTCTACCCATATGCTCCACACTTTCTTGCTTTCTTCAGGTCTCTGCTCAAATTTCACATTATCATAGGAGATTTCTCTGACTATGCAATCCAAAACAGACCTTTTGTCCTTCCCTTTCAATCCCCCTTACTCTGCTTTATGCATCTTTATTTTTCTTCATAGCAATAATCACTACATGACATGTTACATATTTATCTGTTTATCTGTTTTTAGTCTGTCTCTTGAAAATAGAATATAAGCTTATGGAGGGTAAGGCCTTTGCCAGTGTCATTCGTTGGTTCATTCTCCATGTCTGTATTAGTGTCTGGCCCATTGTGGGTGGTTGATAAACATGTGCTAAAGGAAGTACAGCCATCGTCCTTTGTCCTTTTATATTTGAGAGCCTGGAATCTGGTACAGGAAAGCCCATCAACATCTTCTGCAGTGACAGGAAGAAGTGAAGCCCACTTTGGAAAAAAAAATCACCTCTTGTTCAGACACCAAATTCAAAACAGATGCCCCATGCAACTTCTCAACTTTCCCCACTGAGCAGCAACTCGGGAGCCTTACAGGATACATACTTCATGCCAGTATCATCTATGACTCCGCCATGAAAGCCACTTTTTCTTGGAGAGTGGAAAAGATTAATATGTGGATCATATTAATGATCACAGCACCAAGGAACCTAGTAGATCCTGGTATGTGTTTGTTGAATAACAAAGGGGCACATGATTTACACACATAGAAAATCAACTAGAGAGCCAGCCCAGCAGAATAGCAGTTGAAAGGCAGAGAGTCCCCTCTTTATCTAAGCCCTCAAAGCAGAGAAATGAGTTCTCTGAAGTATAACACGTGTCCCCTCCAGCAAGCTTTCCCTAACTGATCCAGTCCAAACTAGGTTTGTGTTACTTTTATAATTGCTACCAGACCTCATATCACTTGAAAGTTTTCCAATGCTTTAAAACAGGGACCACTTCTTGGGAACTGGGGCTGTATCATATATTCTCATACATACCAACCCAGTGCCTAAAACCATGTGAGGAAAGTAAATAGTAGACATAGTATTTTCTAGGTATGCTCTGGTTAATTAACAAGCAATTTTGTTCCATTTCCATTTCTCTAAACCATAAGCAACTTAACTATGTTTTTCCACTCTTATTTGCATATCTACTTACAATGTCATCGTGTTTTACATATATATGTTCATTTTGCTTACACAAAATGAAGCTATTTTTCTGCAATCACCGGAATACTGTTAACATCCAGAGCCTAGAGTTTCCCATCTGGTAGCAAATCCCACAACAAAGAGCCTTTTTGGAAGCTTGGTTAATCCTCTAAAGAGATGTATTTCACAACTCAACTTTTATCTGATGTCAACAGAAACATATTTTTGCAGAATGTGGCTCATATGCAAGTATACTGAATTCCTAGTTTAAAATACAGAAAGATGGAAGGGGTTGTGAGTAAATTTGAAAAGGGAGTGTAGTCTGTTAAAGCCTCTGAATGGCCTTGTGCCATGACCCCCTTGGCCAAGGCTCTAAAGAAAAAGGCTTCCAATCAGTTAATGGGGCCAATATTTTCTAAGCCCTTTCTCTGGGGAAGACCCCCTGCTGGAACAGTGAAAGGAGTTCAGTTGGAAAAGAGACAAAAAACAATAGAATAGAAGCAAGATGAATTTCTTCTTTTTTCCTAGATCACTATTTCATTCTTTCTGTTTTTGCCTCAAATCTCTATGCCTCTTCCCTACCTCTCACTCTCAACTGAACTGGCTTCTCATTTCATTCAGGGGATAAAAATAAGAGGCAGTGAGTATCAAATTTCCACAAGCACTGCCACCACCACCATTTTTATCACCACATCTACCAAGATATCAGCATCTGGGCCCATCTATTCTGAATTTTCTCCCATTACAATGGATAAATGATCCTATCTAAGACCAACCCCTCTCTTACCTGTTGACAGACACCACTGCTGCAGTTGTCCCTCTCACGTGTGTCAGCAAGGTTTCTGTCTCTACTGGATCAGTCCATCACCACAAAAACAAATGTAGGATCTCCCACTCACATGTCTTCTAGCCACTTACTAAGCTCTCTGCCTCCCCATACACTACACACTAGAAATAATTGTCTATATTTGCTGTTTCCAATTCCCCTCCTCTCATTCAACTCACTCTTCTCAAGCTTTTGATCCCATGAATCCACCAATGATGGAGTCTCCAATGACCAGATCATTGCTGATGCAAAGACAGATTTTTAGTCAGCAACATTTTTACAGCTGGGCACTCCCTTCCTTCCTGAAACACCTTCTTCCCTTAGTTCTGTGTTTTGGGCCTCCTTCCCTCCCACTGGTTGCTCCCACAGTCTCATGCATTAGCTTTTCCTCATCTCTCCAACATTCAAGTGACCTCAGGATTCAGTTCTCAAACTTCTTCTCTTCTCTGTTCTCATTCCACCTAATGAATTTAAGGTGCCTTCTAGACAGTGGCAATTTCCAAATATATACATTTCCCCCTGTATATTGGACTCCTACATCCATTTACCTACATCATACCTCCACATATATATCCAGTAGTGTTTCAAACTCAACAAAACCCAAACCAAATTCTTGATTTTATTCTCAAACTTGCTCCTCTCACCATCTTTGTCCAGTAAATGGAAAATCTATTATTCTAGTTACTCTAATATTTTAAAACATTAAAATATAAGCCCCTTGGGGACAGGGTCTTTGTGTAGTTTATTTTCCACATCTACAATGGTGCCTGACATATAGAAGAGAGCTAACAAATGCATGCTAAGTGAGGTAAGTGAGGTACTGCCATAGAGTTATATGAAAAGGACATCAGAAACAGGTCACTAATCCTAAATTTAAGGCAAGAGGAGGAGGAGCAATTCTTCATAATTACTTCATGAGAAAAAGTTTTAATTTGATGTGAAGGACTAGCAAAAATTTGACAGAAAAATAAGGGAGAAACATTCTTGGCAGAGGGAACGGCATGAGCAAATATAAAAAGGTGTGAAAATGTGTGTTATGTTTACGGAACCAGAATCATGTCACTGAGGTATAAGGTAAATAAGACAGCAAATTGGGAGATAATTCTGGCAGTTTAAGGCTACTCATCTAAGGAGAATCTCATTAAGAAACTTGGAATTTGTGGTACCCGGGTAGCTCAGTCTGTTAAGCATCAGACTCTTGATTTCGGCTCAGGTCATGATCTCGCACTCTTATGAGCTCAGGCCCCACATGGTTCTGCACTGATAGTGTGGAGCATGCTTGAGATTCTCCCTCTTTCTCTGCCCTTCCCCTGCTCACACTCTCTCTGTCTCTCTCAAAATAAGTAAATTAATTTTAAAGAATAAAAAGGAAAGAAAGAAACTTGGAATTTATATTATAGACAAAAAGAAAGCTATAAAGATTTTTAAGCACGGTGATGGGGATATAGTAGATGATTAATCAATGTGTCCAGAGAAACAAAAGCAAGAGCAGTATGGGTGAAATATTGGGGAAGCCAAGGGGAGAATATGGGAAGTATGGAAATCTATGACAATAGTTGAGTAGAGATGGAAAAGCATGCGCTAAACTGTGATACTAAGAATGGCCAGTAGAGGGAAACTATAGGAGAGGCTGTAGAAACAGAAATGTTGATGACAAGTTAAGGGTGAATAAAGGCACAAAAGGTCACTAATCTCCAGATTTCTTCTCTGACACCCTGAAATCTTTTAGAACAACTAGAAGAAGTAC